GTTCAGAGAGGACTTTCTGAATTTGAAATCAAAGACAAGGGAAGTAAAAGCTAAAATAAATGAATGGGACTATATCAAGCTAAAGTTTTCTACACAGCAAAAGAAACCACCAACAAAACAAAGAGGCAACCAACCGAATGAGAGAACATATTTACAAACAACACCTCCAATAACGGGCTAATATCCAAACTATATTAAGAACTCATACAACTCAACAACAACAACAAAAAATCTAATCCAATTAGATAATGGGCAGAAGACCTGAGTAGACACTACTCCCAAGAGACAAACAAATGGGCAACAGCTATATGAAAAAAATGCACAACTTCACTAGCTATTAGGCAAATGCAAATCAAAACCACTGTGAGATACAACCGCACACTTGTTAGAATGGCTATCATCAACAAGACAATTTAACAAGTGATTGAGAGGTTGTGGAGAAGAAGGAACACTCAAACAGTACTGGTGGGAAAACAAATTGGTACAGCCACTATGGAAAACAGTATGGCAGTTTCTCAAAAAATTAAGAATAGAATTACCATAAGACTCAGCAATCCCTCTTCTGGTTATTTACCCTGGAAATCTGAAAACATTTACCAGTAAAGATACATGCATCCCTATTTTTCTTGCAACATTATTCATGGGGCATAGACACTGAAACAAGCAAAGTTCCCTTGCATAGATGATTTGGATAAAGAAGATATGGTACACATATACAATGGAATGTTACTCGGCCATAAGAAAAGGTGAAATACTGCTGTTTGCTACAACATGGATGGATCTTGAGATTATCATGTTAAGTAAAATAAGTCAAACAGAAAGAGTCAAGAAACATAAAACTTTACTCATATGTGGGACATAAAACTGAAACTAACAAACAAGACAAACAAATAAACAAAAACTCATAGTCACAGACAACAGTTGTAATAGTTACCAGAGTGTAAGGAGGGCAGGGAGATAGTAAAAGAGAGTAAAAGGGATCAAATGTATGGTTATGGAAGGAAAACTGACTCTGCGTAGTGAACATACAATGCAATATATAGATGATGTATTATAGAATTATATACTTGAAACCTATGTAATTTTACTAACCATGTCACCACAATAAATTTAATAAATATTTTTAAAAGTCTTTATCCATTAAAAAATATCAGATAATGTGTATGTGTGTGTGTGTGTGTGTGTGTGTGTGTGTGTGTATACCGTATTTCCCCTTGTATAAGATGCTCCCATGTATAAGATGCACCTTAATTTTGGGGCCTGAAATTTGAAAAAAATAATGTATTACATAAAGTTATTGAACTTAAGTTTTATTCATCATAAAATTCATACAACTCCTCATCACTGTCAAAACTCCCAACCATTAGCTTGTCCTCTTCTGTGTCTGATGACGAATCACTGTCTTCATATATTGCCTCATCCTCAGCTTCATCTATGGCATTTGAAATCTATGACCATTGTATAAGACGCACCCAATATTTAGACCCAAATTTTGTTGTTGTTTTTTAAAGATTTTTTTTTTAAATTGGGGAATTGGGGGATGGGAACAGCGCTGGGGAATTGGGGGAAGGGGAACAGACAAGTTGCTATCCTTTTGTTCTTCAGTCTAGAT